CACTTGGGTCCCACCCACTGCGCTAGCTGTCTTCAGTCCAGGGGGCTCCTCGGCCTAGCTGCTGCCTATTTTCCAATGACAGTTGACTATATAGTTGGGATCCAATATTATATTCGTGTCGGTCGTACAGCATAGAGATTAGAGATCTATATAACTCAGAGTGATCACCTCCATCAGTCGAGTGCCTCTCTGCCCCCACACATTTATTACAATAGTATCAACTAGATTCCTTTTGCTGGACTTTGTATCTCCATGACTGTTCTGTAACTACCCATTTGTACTTCTCAATCCCTTTCTCCCTTTTCACCGACCGCGCCCCCCAACCCCTCTCCCATCTGGTGACCCTCAAAATGTTCTCCTTGTTTGTTTCTGTGTTTCGTTTGTTGATTTTGTTCTTTAGGTTCCACGTGTACGTGAAATCACAGGGCCTCTGTCTTTCTCTGTCTGACTCACCCCACGCAGCACAAAGCCGTCTCGGTCCATCATGCACTACCTTTTTCCGTCCCTTTACTTTTGGCCAGTGTGTCTTTCGGTCTGAAGTGAGTCTCTCGTAGGCATCGAATGTAAGGGTCTTCTTTTCTTATCCATTCGGCCACCCTGTCTTTCGATTGGAGCACTTTATTCTTTTTCATTTGAAGAACGTGTCGATAGATACGTAGTTATTGCCAACCTTTATTCATATTTTCAATACCTATTTTTTCTTCTTAAAGCAGTCCCTCCAGCATTTCCTGTGACACTGGCTTCGTGGCGATGAAGCTAGTGTAGCTTTTTCTTGTCTGGGAAGCTCTTTATCTGTCTTCTGACTCTGAATAATATCTTTCCTGGATAAAGTAATGTTGGTTATAGATCCTGGGTTTTTATCGCTTTAAATATTTCGTGCCAAGCCATTCTGTCCCGCGAAGTTTCTTTTAAGAAATCAGCTGCCAGTCTTACGGAAGCTCCCTTGTAGATAACTAACTGCTTTTCTCCTGCTGCTTTTAAGACTCTCCGTCTTTCACCTTTGGCATTTTAATTATGATGCGTCTTGGTGTGGGCCTCTTTGGGTTCACCTTGTTTGGGACTCGCCGAGCTTCCTGAGGTTGAATGTCTATTTCCTTCACCAGGTTAAGGAAGTTTTCATCATTATTTCTTCAAATAGGTTTTCAACTTCTTTCTCTCTTTTCCCCTTCTGGTACCCCCTGTGATGTGAATGTCGGTACGCTCGATGTTGTCCCAGAGGCCCCTTAAACTGTCCTCTTATTTTTTTTTTGGGGGGGTGTTCTTTTTTCTTGTTGCTGCTCTGATTGGGCGTCCTCTGCTCCCGCATCCTCTATATTGCTGATTCGATCCTCCGCTTCATCCAGTCTGTTGATTCCCTCTGATGTACTCTTCATCTCAGATAAGGTGTTCCTCATTTCTGACTGGTTCCCTTTGATAATCTCCATCTCCATTTTTGTTTTTTTAATCTCTTCGTTAAAGTTCTCACTGAGTTCATCTACTCTTCCCCTAAGTTTGTTGCGCACCCTCATAACCAGTGTTTTGAACTCCGCATCTGGTAGACGGCTTGCCTCCACCTTGTTTAGATCTTTTTCCTGGAGCTCTGTTCTGCTTTTTCACGTGAGACGTGCTTCTTTGTCTCCTCATTTTGGCTGCCATTCTGTATCTGTTTCTACATATTAGGTCGGGCTCCTAAGTCTCCCGGGCTTAGCAGTGTGGCTTTGTGGGGCCCAGTGGCACAGTCCTGAGAGGGGTCCAGCTTCAGGCCAAGTTTAGCCCCAGCCTGTGGCCCTCCAGGGACACCTGGTAAGAGTCAGCAAGCGATCCACAGATGGCTGCCACCTGGGGTGGGCTTCTAATTGCCTCAAGAGGCCACACCAGAAACGAGGCCAGCTGCCACCAGTGTGGGGCTTGGCGCTGCTCAGCAGGGGGCACAGGGCACGATGAGGACACCACCAGATGTGGCTTGGGTGGGGCTGCAAGTTGGGAGCGGCAGAGTTTCAGGGAATCTTCCGGAGAGAGGGCACCGAGTCATGACTTGCCTGCGTTGCTGCCGGCAAACCAGCCCGTTCTGGACCTGCCGTTCCTCCTGGTGTCTTCGCTGGCATTCCATGAAGAAGAGCCGTCTCCTCCTCCATCACATTTCCCTCCTTCCTTTATCCCCCAACACGCTTTTTTTTTTTTAACTTTTCTAGAATCAGTAACAACTCAGACTTTTTAAAAATTCATGTTAGGCTCTGCTGCCAGTATTCAATTTGTCCCAGATTTAGCCTGGAGGGGCCCCTTTCACGCCGGTGGCCGTGTCCTCTGACCTGTCCTCATTGGTTGCTAAGGACTTCGTCCCCCAGCCCCGATGCCGTAGCTGCCCTCTCCCTCTATAATGTATGCTCATTTGGTCCATCATGTAGCGCCAAATAATTTCAGGGTGAGGGCACCCGTGCCGACTGCGTGACAACCTGCCAAAGGGGTCTGCGATCTCCCAGCAGCTGTCTTTGTCTTTGGTGTCACACCACGGGGCCACGTTCGGAGTATGTGCTCAAAGTTACATAGATTCTGTTTTCTCTTTCGGTTGTAATCAGTTTGATACACAGTTAGGGTCAAACTTTTCTGCCTCTATTTACTTTTAGAAGAAGCCCCATCTTTGTTGGTTTTATTTTACTTTTTAATATATAAAACATTGAACATCACGCAAACACTAAAGCTGCATGAAGAGGACCCTTGTTCCTTCTCCACCTCTCCCTGTAGGCAAACGGTTTCATTTTCTGGTTTCTAATTAATCTTTGAAAAGGCCACCAAGTTCTAAACTATCACTTGGGGAAGGAAGACTCCTTTTGGGAAGGGTGGTGGCGGGTAGAAATTTAATTTTGTTAACTAAAAAGAAATTTCTGAGTGATATCTATTCCCAAATATTTATGAAATTTTTCTTTTGTTTTTCTTCTTTATATTGCTTTAAAATACACACACATTGTCATGATCCAGCCTTCGGTCCCGTGATCTCTGCATATGCACCGTTTTAAGCGGTAACACACCTTAACTTTGTGTGTGTGTGTGTGTGTGTGTGTTTCTCCAGGGGACTGTGGCAGTGTCTCTGAAGAGAGTCCCGGTGGCCCATTTGAGCCAGCTGCATCTTCACGCCCCTGTTCAACAGACATGGCTATAGTGCCCAGAAATGCCAGCGTCACGTTACAAGCGACTGGTGGTGACAGCTTCTCAAGCAACCAGTCCTTTGCGGCCGACGACATCTGCAGCGTGACCATCAGCGACCTGTATGCGGGCATGCTGCACTCGATGAGCCGGCTGCTGGGCGCGAAGCCTGCGAGCATCATCTCCACCAAGACCTTCATCGTTCAGAACTGGACCTCGAGGAGGAGGCACAGGTGCCAGAGCAGGACCAACAAGACGCGTTGCAGAGGAGGCAGACAGGGAACGCACAGGAGTTCCCACCAGAGACTTTTGCCCTCTTTTGAGCCTGTGAAAGAGGTGGCAGTATTAAGAGATTGCCAGAACGTACGAGATAAGGCAGGATTAAAATTGGAAAAGGCTCGTCTTGAAGTGAACGCACCCCAAATCTGTAGATTACAGCCAAGTCGGAAGGAGCTGAAGGGAACACCCCAGAAGTGTGCTTCGTTGACTTACATAGACTCCATTACAATGCATCGTCTCGACCAGGAAAATAGATTAATGACATTACAGTGGTTAATTTCTCCCGTAAAAGTATTTTCCAGACGAAGAATACAGCAGGGCGACAGAGGGACTCATCATAGGGAGCTTGCCAACAGATTCGATCAGCTTTACCAGGAGTATTGCCCAAGCCCCAGGAAGCTGCCCTGCCTGCCCTTCCCCGGTTCCTCCAGGGTCCACGCGCACAGAGCCAGCCCGGGTGTCCCGTGGAGCTCAGAAACCCACAGGCCGAGACCTTTCAGCAGAGCGAAAGGTAAGAGTTTAAATGAGGCTTTTGAAAACCTGGGCAAACGAGCCGTTGAAGCGAGAACATGCCTGGCAAAGAGCAATTCCTTCCCATCACTTCTCAAGGCCGATCCCGCACAGAACCCAGGCAGTTCTGAGCGGACAGCTGACCTTTCCCAAGGAAATAATCTTGGAATATTGAGGAAGTCAGTGGTACTCAGCGAAGCTCTTTCAGTACCTGGGGTGCGACCTCTAAGCTGTGCGAGAGATCGTTACGATGAAATTAAAGAGAAATTTGACAAGCTTCATCAGCAGTATTGCCGAAGATCGCCTCAGCAGACAAAGACGCCTTTATGTTCTGGAGCATCTCCAGATAAAGCAAGCGTGGAAGTTCAGGACCAAAAAGAAGCCTCCTTAGGAAAATTAAATCTGGTCTCTGGCTTCCAAGGTCCCCAAAAGTTGTCAGCGTCACCCCACTGGAGCATAAAGCATTCACTGGGCTCCAGCACGATTGTTCATCCGTCAGCATGCTTGGCTCTCACTGCCAGGAGGGGTCCTCAGCCCCTTGTGAAAAGACGCCGCCTCTCAGACCCTCAGGTGTGTGGCAGGTGGGCTGAGGCCCAGGGTTCCTCCCACATGGCGGGCAGAGCCACCCGGAGGCCAGGGGACGAGGTCGGCTCTTTACAGCTGGACTAGGAAAAGAAGGTGAGTCTGTTTGACAGCAAGATCCTTCTGTCCATGTTTGTTTTCTAAACTTTCTCCCCAATCTAGTTCCTTTACGTCAAGCTCACGTTCACGGGGAGATGCTTCAAGGTGGAGCTGAACCCGTTCCCAGGGGAAAAGCCGCACACGTTTTCCGTTGGAATTGCATCTAGGGGGCTTTTCTGAGAAGCGCTTCGCACGCACGCGCTATCTGTCTTTGTCACTGTCGTTTCCAGACCCTTCATCCTACCTTTGGAAAATGGCTGTCGTCAGGCGAAACGATGGTCCGTTTACTTCTGGACGGACGTCCTAGTGGGGACGGCGGAGTTGGCCCAGCCCGCCCGTAACCTCGGTGCCGTGGGCCTTGCAGGCCGCCTGGCCCAGCCGCCCGCCCGCGCGGTGCGGTCGGTGCAGACCACCGACGCTACGGTCCCCGTGCGCTGGCGCTGTTTTATTTTCTCCCGAGACCAGGTGGGGTCGTGCGGGTCGCTGGACTTTTTCGCATAAGCGCCAGATTTCCGAGCCGAGACTTGGATGGTGTGGCCGCTCCGAGGGTCAGGCGCCTCTCCGCCCGCCGAGTTTGGCTTGGCGGGTTGGGGTTTTGTGCATGGGGTGGGGATGGGGGCGGCGGGGGCAGGTGAGGCAGCCCCAACCGCTGCGTGGACCCCGTCAGCCCTAAGCGTCCCGCTCCGGTTTTCCCACCTGTGCCCGTGCGTCCTGTGACCCCGCCTCTTCCCACTGGTGCTCCTCGGGGTGCTCCTCGGCGCCCAGCGCAGGTCGCTCTCGCTCTGTCGCCGGCTCACCCCGGGCCACACGGAGCAGAGAACCCCGCGGGGCCCAGCGAGGCCGGGGTGCTGAGCCGAGCACGTTCCTGGAAGCCGAGGACCGAGACGGTGGCCCCGAGGGGCCCTCCCAGCGCCCCTGGAACTTAACACCCCGCCACTGGAGGCCTGCAGTTTCATCTTAAATCCCAATATAAACATATTTAATCATTTTCCTTTACCCCCCCCTCTCCCCCGCCCTTCTTTCTCTACTTAAATTATTAGTTTCTTGAGGAAAGGGACCAAATCTCCCAGGACTACGGAGGACTTTCAGTGGCTAACATCTGACGCTTTCTTGTGCATCAGGCCACAGTGAACCTTTTTCGCACCTTCCTTTCTTGATTCCCCCACGAACCCTTTGATTACGTAGGTTCTGCCTCTTTTTACACATAAGGGTGCGGCTTAGGTCTTACAACTGCCGAACCCACACGGGCAGCGCATGGCCGGGCCAGGGCCGGAAACCCCATCCGCATGACCGCCAGGTGGCGCTGCTGGCGAGGGGGTCGCCATCAGGGGGTTGTGGTTTGGGGGTGGGGAGGACCGCATTCCTTAGGGTATCGAGCACGGTGGCATTGTCTATAATGGACACTATTCGAATCAGTTCAGCTTTTTTGGCGGCTGGCATTGGGAATTCTAGTGGAATTTTACGGAAATCCTTTTGTTTGTCTTCTTTTTTTCCAGAAGGAAGAACGCATCTTTCAGAATGGAAGAGAAAAGCGATTTTGTGTTAGAAAACTCGAAGCTGGAAATCTGTAACAAGTTATTTTAGAGTATCGTCCCTCTTCCCCCTTAATCCGTGCGTGTGTGATTCTCAAGAATATTTTAGAACTTGCTTCAGTTATCTGCCCTTAAAAGCAAATTTCAGTGAAATTGGCTTCATTGAGATAACTGAGTTCTTGGTATAGAAATTATTGGAATAAAGTTGCTTGATTAAAATAATTAATGTTATACATTATAGGGCTATTATTGTGTTTTCTTTGCTAAATTTAGACATGCCAACAGAATTCTCTCCTGTATTTCCTATTTCTTTAGAGAAACTGTTTGCTCTGAAACCTAACTTTAGATCCTGGATACAGTGATCCTTGAAGGAAAATCCAGCTGCTTAGTCTTTTTAAATTCAGACCCGTGGGACTTGGTTTAGGACCTTCCAAATCAGGAGGAAGCAAACCGAAACATAATTCACCCATAAAAAGTAATTTTTTTTTTGTTTTTAGGTAAAAACATGCTGTGTTTTAAACAGTCCTCTGATGGTCCCAGAGTACTCTTGCAGCCACACAGCGTCCACGACACCTCATGGCTTTTATTGGAGCTATTTATAATAGGATATCACGGCGACTTTTTTAATAAAATAATTTTAAATATTCAGAACACGGTGACCAAACCCACGTTGAGTGGTCATTAAAATATTGCCGTGTGTTATGGATTCTTTATTTTAAATACGAGTTTAGAGATAAGATGAAATTACACGTCTTCCTTCCCATCCCCTTCCTAGGCTGCCCCCCTCCTGATACTAATGTGAACCCTCTTCCACCCACGTCTTTATGCTGGGACCACGTGACCGGTATGTCTTAGCTGAGGCTACCTAACAAAATACCAGACTGGGTGGTTTAAACAACAGACACTGATTTCTCACAGAGACCAGGGTGCCAGCGTGGTCAGGTTCTGGGGAGGACGCCTCCTGGCCTGCAGACAGTGCGTTTTCTCTGTCCTTACATGGCAGAGAGCGGGCACTGTCTGGTGTCTATAAGGGCACCCTAATCCTACCCTAAAGCTCCCACCCAAAGCTCCCATCTCAGATACCATCACGCAAAGGTCAGGGGTCTTATATGAGAACTTGGGCAGACACGTTCAGTCCAGACCCCTACGAATCAGGAAGAAAGGCTGGCGGGGGACTGTGGGCTCAGGCTTGGCCAAGGCCGGAGTGGCCTCTGCAATTCTAGACCTTGCCCTCCTGCCTGTAGCTTCCTTAAAGCATAACCCATCCTTTCCTCCATCAGGATAACTATTATTCTTGCCCCAAACTGCTTGAGCCTGGCCCTGCCCCCAACTCCTTACCCCGCAGGCCTGGGCTGAGGCCTAGCTGCCAGGGAGACTGAAAGTTCGGGTGTTTGATGTCCAGTGACCAAGCGGAGGAAGGCGAGGCAGAAGGGACTGGCCACTTTACAGGATCTGCCAATACGGGACCTCGTAAACTACATATGGAATGGTGCCCTTCAATGCGCATCGCACTCGGCTGGGAGACACCTTTTCCTTTAAGAGTGGGGTTCCTGGGGGGCAGAGACGGGACAGCAGCCTGGCTCCCCTCTGCCTGGCATGGCCATCAGCATGGATGTGACTGCAAGGCAGTGAAGACAAAGGTGGATTCCGATGCTCTGGGCTGAGGGGACGTCTGACATGCACACCCCCCAAGGGAAAGCGGGAAAGACACGGCCCTATTGGGACAAGTCTCCCGGTGCCCCACTGTCTCAGCTCTGGGGTGTCGTCACCTTACAGTTAGGAATCTGCACTCGTAATGGCAATGGAGGTTTATTTCAATGGGGAGGAAGGAAGGAAGGGACACCGATTATTCATAACTATGCCTTTCTTACAAACTAAATCTAAAATGGTCTGCGTCGCTGTGGTCGGGTGGGCACCGAGGAGGCCGTTTGCATTTCACACTGGGGCCGCCTAGGAGAGTACTTCGTTTGAAGCCAGAAGCTGGTGGGGACTGCAGGAATCCAAGATTCTGAGAGTCTCCAGGGCCGCCCTCCGCACCCCGGGATCCGAGTCCAGCTGTAGCTCCTGGAGAGCTGAGAGTGAGCACAAACAGGAGCGGGTTGGGACCCTAAGGTCAGGCTGCGCCCTCTGCCCCGTGCACGTGCCCACGGAGGCCCCGGGTGCCCCTGGGGGGCTGGCCTGGCTGCAGACAGGGGTCAGGAGAGGGCGGGGGGAGCTGCGTCTTCACACACATCTCCCACCTCTCGGGGCTCCCCCAGCTTCGCTAACGGGGACAGAAGGACCGCCTAGAAGCCTCTCGCCATGCGGATCGGAGGAAGGCAGCAGGGCAGAAGCATTTCATAAACGTTTGTGAAGGGGGTGCGGTAAGCAGCCCAGTGGACTCCCACTGACTCCCACCTTTGAAGAGCTGAAAGCCCCCCGCGGGGCCATCCGCCTCTCTGTGCCCGGTCTCAAACCCCGCCCCCCCCAAAAGCCACAACCGAGGGGCGGTGGGCCCCTCCCCCTGCGGTTTCACGGAGCTCCCCAAGGGAGCTGAACGGACTCGGTGCCACCGACTTACAATTCCGCAGTGCTGAGCAGTCCAGCTTTTTCAGATAATGCGCAGACATCTTCTTCACAATAATTCCTAAAACGATAGCCGGAGACACACTCGTCGCACGGATGTTAGGTCGGCACGGGATCTGGTTTTACCTCATGAGGGGAGCGTTGAGGAGGTAGCCGAGGCTGCCTGATGGAGCGTCAGGCTGGTACGCAGCCCGGCGGGACAGGAGGCACGGCGGGGACACCCACCTGAGCTCTGGTCCCACACCCGTCCTCCTCCCCTCCACACCCAGTGGCCTTCAAGGTCCCTCCCGCCTCAGGGGACATCTGCCTACTCACCTGCCAGGTTGCAGGAAGCGATTCTGATCCCTGAAAAGTTACTTTTAGCATAGGTCATTGTTTCTAGCAAGAAACTGTAGAGTACAGCAGGCTTCTTCTGAGTCTGTGAAAAACAAGTGACACGCAGAGCCTCGAAGGTCAAGGTCCCAGAACCCAGCTGCTCACAGAGCGAGTGCCTTCCCATCTGTCTGAGGCACGAGGGTCTGCCCAGAGGGGGCAAGTGCTCCTCCCAGTGACACCTGGCCAGTTAGAAACCGGGCAGCCTTTGGCCCCTGTTACATCCCTGTCTCACCCAGAGAGAGAGGAGACTGTATTTGTCCACACCCCTCACTGTCAATACAGCAGCCGATGCCCACAGTGGCCTTTGAGCACTGACGTTGGGCTAGCCTGAATTAATAAGTTTTGTATTGATTACATGTTGGAATGATAACGATTTGGATCTATTGGGTTAAATAAACTCTATTATTAAATCTGCTTGTACCTCTTTTCACTTTTCTTAACATGGTTACTAGAAAACTTAAAAGTGGGCCTGTGGCTTGCATTCTGTTTCCAGTGGACAGAGCTGATCTTAACACTTCACGACTAAAAGGTGAACACAGGGTCACGAGAGGGACCTCTGTGGCGGCCGAGACTCTAAGCCCTTGGCAGGTCCTTCCCCGCAACGTCCTCACCAGGACGGAGCACAGGGTCATCTGGAAAACGGTCATCTCGTCAGCTCCACTGGCGTCGCTTCTCCTCGAGGCGTCTTCCAGGGCCTTGAAGCCCCAGAAGTGCACGCACCGATACATGGTAGCCATACAGGCCTGCAGGGACACGGGGCGGGACAGAGGAGAAGCGTCAGACTGACCGAGGGGGTTCCCGATGCGGCTGAGGCCGGCAAGGCTGCGTTCCCTCGGGAAAGCCAGAGGGTGGCCCCGGCAACGCCTCGGGAGGCTGAGGAAGGGCACCGGAGGCCCGCCAGCCCACGCGATGGCCGCGTGCACATTTATAAAGAGCCCCTTGGGGCAGATGCAGCCGGCCCACTGGCCCCGCAGCCAGCACCTCGCGCCCTCAGCAGCCCTGCTGGGGGGCCTGCTCCTCCAGATGCTCAGGGCCAGGGCCGGCTGGGATTGGCAGGACGGGGCCAGCTTTCTCCTCCCCCTGGACACTCTACCTCTAGCTCTTCCAGTTCCTGAGCTGCAGCCACCGTCCCCAGCCGGCCAGCATCTCAGTTAGACTGGGAGACGGAGCCTCTACCTGTCCCCGCTCCCACCCAACACATAGGAGGAGCTGGGCCTTGGCCAGGAAGAGAAGCAGGGTCACACAGAGAGCCAGGGACCCCTCCGCTACTCCAGCAGCCCCCACCTCCAGCATGCAGAAGCCACCTCCCAGGGAGCGGGCGAAGTGAGATTTAAGGCGAGTGTTAAATGTGGCCGAGTCATTGTACCCCAAAGTGAATCTGGTAGAAGACGGGCTGATTGGTGAGTGGAGAAGAGGGAAACTCAGCCCCCAACACGAGCTGAGGCTCCTCAGTCAGCCGGTGTGCGGGCCCATCTTGAATGGTCCCTTTCCCCAGCCTGCCGAGCCGGCAGACCTGGAGAACATGTTCCTCTTGGGGACAGCAGGCCTCAGACTTGGGGACGCAAAGACGAGGGTGCGCCTCACCTGGGCGGCCTCAGAGCAGGGGTCCTGGCAGTGCAGCATGAGTGGGACCCAGGCCTTCTTCACTTCCTCCTTGAAGAAATGCCTCTTGGAGACCCTCACCACGTTGGCCAGCTTCCCAAAGAGGAGGAAGGCTTTTACGCGCAGCAGCTCACTGTCCTGCGGCCGAGACACGTAAACCTGTTCTGAAACTCGGGGACCGAGAAGCCCAACAAGACCCCAGCCATTCTCCGCGGACCCCTTGAAAATTGCCTTGAGCCCCGTGAAGGCTTCTGGATCATTCCATCAGGACGGAGTCCCTCCTGCAGGGCTCCAGGACTGGGCACAGCTCTGGTATTTGTGACATTTACGTCCTAGATGAGGACTGGGTTGAATTTACACACACACCTCTGCCTAGCTGAGTCCCCACCCAGCCCAAAGAGCACCTGTGGGCTGCAAGGAATTCGGAGAGAAAGCTCATTCTCTAACAGCAGGGAGAAGGGGGCCCGAGCCCTCGAACGAGGTCCCACGACCAGCCGTCGGTGCCCGGGGGGACCTGCCGCCCCGCCAGCTCCAGAGCCCAGCTTTTCCACAGGGCCCGGAGGTGGGCACTCACTCTCCGGGCAAGTGTTGGCGGACCCCCGGCCGAGGGCCCAGGGAGGCTCTCATCTGCACTCACGTTGTCAAAGAAGGCCCTGCACTGCTCGGAGATGGCGTCGAGTGAGGACCCCAGGTCCCCCTCCCGGAGCTCGGCCAGGATCCTGGCCAGGGTGTCCATGGCCTCGGAGGGCACACCGGGGCCTCCCGGCTCCCGCAGGGCACACAGGCACTTCTCCAGCAGCAGCTTCCGGTACTGCCTCACCTGGCGGGGGCACAGGGCGCCTTCAGCCCCCACCCGGCTGGGTCGGAGATGGCGTCGAGTGAGGACCCCAGGTCCCCCTCCCGGAGCTCGGCCAGGATCCTGGCCAGGGTGTCCATGGCCTCGGAGGGCACACCGGGGCCTCCCGGCTCCCGCAGGGCACACAGGCACTTCTCCAGCAGCAGCTTCCGGTACTGCCTCACCTGGCGGGGGCACAGGGCGCCTTCAGCCCCCACCCGGCTGGGCCCCCGGGTGACAGGCAGCCTCCAGCCCCGGGCCCCGCGCCCCGGGCCTCTGGGCTCAAGGTCGGGTCGGGAGCGGCACCTTCTTGGGGGCGCCCAGGGCCATGTTGCCGAGGGCGCGCAGGGCCAGCACCCGCAGCGTCTCGTCCTCCTGGTCGGCGCCCCTTCCCAGCAGCAGCACGGCCGGCTTCAGCAGCTTCTCCCGGTACAGAGTCGGGTCGCTCATGAACTGGAAAGAACGTTTTACAATTACCCCGTCATAGGCCCATTTCTCAGCCATGAGGCGGGCCACGTGCGTATATTCAGGGCATCGCATGGGTTCCCTGTGCATCCGAGAGGATTCTGGGCCTGAACTCCAGGGGCCGACTCTGGGCTCGTCTGCCTGCCTGCCTGCCACCCGCGGGACCCTGGCCAGCCCCTCAACGCCTCTGAGCCTGTTTCCTCATCTGTGAGAAGAGGTGATACCAGCACCGGCCTCACGAGGTTGCCACGAGGCCTCAGCGAGGAACGGTGTGGGAAATGCTAGGCAAGCATAACCCATCAACACATTCATCCATCATTCATCTCTTCAGTTAATGTGACGGAGCAGCTACCGGGTGCGAGAGCCACGTCCACTGCATCTGAACAGAAATGTCCAGGGAGCACACATTTCCTTCACCTGGGATTCAGAGTCATTGTCAACCTAATACTCAAAATGCCAGGACATCGGGCCAGCGAGGACCGCTCTGGCATGTGCGGGCACGTGTGTGCGTGTGTGTGCACTCACACATGAGTGTGTTTTAAATACACTTAAAGAAAACTAAACACTAAACTGCTGACTCCAAAGTTGAAAACTTGACAGAAGTTTGGGGACCCCTGCACTAGGCCGACGTTTGGGTCCTACAGGCATCATGCAGCTGATAAAGTTTTTCTTAAAAGTTTTCTGGCTGCTTTTCTGGATCGGTTTCCCGAATCTTCTCTTCTCCACCAGGAAGGGACAACAAGGGCCTCTCAGTAGAGGTGACCTCATAAGCACCCCAAGTGCATGGAAGGGTAGCTGGGCCCCAAAGGCCGTAACCCCCTAGCCCGGCCTTCCTGCCTGGCAAAGCCCTCCTGTGAGAACTTCCCCAGCACCTCCAACCCACCAAGAGCCCTGCCCTGGCCCCCTGGGTGTTGCTGCCACTCACCACGTCACACGTCACTTAGCTGCTACACGTCAAGGTACAGGCCAAGTCTCAACCCCTCTTTGCCCATAGCGACCCCCCAAATTACTCGTGTGGTGAAGGAATGAATGAGTGAATGAGTGAATGAACAGGCAAACCAGAGGCACTCGTTGACCCCCTGGATTCAGATGTCCCTCAGAGCCTGGGAAGCTGCTCTGAGCCCCCCAAGAGAGTCCCCAGGGAAGTAGGGGGTTGCCCCGCTCTGCTCCCCAGCCTGCCCCGCCCTCCACGCCATGCACCTCACCTCCACGCAGACCGCCGTGCTGCTGACGCGGCAGCTCAGGACCTCCGAGGCCATGCCTCTGAGCACCAGCTCCGACAGCCTGTGCCTGGAGCCCTCCACGTGCCGCACACACAGCCTGCAGAGCGGACAGTGGCCCACCAGGCGGGGAGGGCGTCTCAGCTCCCGCCAGGCAGAGCCACTCTAGAACAGGACGCCCCGGGCAGATCTAACGTCTGTGGGCCTCTCCTCCTCGCCAGGGGGTGTCACTGAAGTACTTACTTTTCGTCCCCTTTTTGTAAAAGGGGACTCGAATAAGAGCTGCTCGCAAGTGATCAGGACCCGGGGACCCCCGGCCTGGCCCTGTTCAGAAGCCCTGTGTGGCCTGGCCAAGCCCCACCTGCCTCTGACCTCACGGTCCCTACCCTGGAACACAAGGGCTGGAATAAAAGGTTCCCTTTGCCCTTTACGCGTCTGCCGTCTGAGTCTGGACACGGGTCGACCTGGCAATCTCCCAGAAGTGACTTAGACCTTGCAGCAAAGAGCTGCCTCAGCAGGTCCCGCCACGCCCCAGGGGGAGCCCGGGCACCCACCTGGCCAGCAGGCTCACTCCTTGCAAGAACGTGGAACTGCTCTGCAGGAGGGCCCACACGCCCTGGTCGTCCAGGGTGTGAACCAGCTGCTCACTGTCCAGTCTCCTGAACAAAAGCTGCATGGATCGGATTGTGATCCTGGAAGGAGGTGGGACCGTGTCACGATGCAGCAGCTCTGCGGGGAGGACCCACGGCTCCTCAGAGCAGCAGGCAGCGTGCTCAGGTCTGTGAGCCGGGGTCCTCACGCCTGCGGGCCTAGCCAAGGGGCGAAGGGGCGATCGTGTGAGAGAGTGGGTCCGCAAACTCTGAACCCCGCGCCGTGCTGGACACAGGAGAGGGGAGTCGTGAGTGTGATCGGCTTCCGGAAACTTCTCCCCACCAGGAGGGGATGACGAGGCTCTCTCATGGCGGCGACTCTTGGAGTCCAGTGACTTCTGAGAGGCGGCCCGAGGCCCCGTCCAGCCCAGACCCAGTGCCTCATCCCTCCCCGACCCCGCCTCACCACCCCCCGCCCCCGGCCCGCCCCGTGCCTTTGCAGGTTGATCTCCTCGGGCAGGGTCCCCGTGTGGATGAGCCTCCATGTCTTTAGGATGGGCGACGCAGCCTCCGGCCCCCGGCTGCTGCTGAGCTGCAGCAGGAGGGTGTAGATGAGGTCCGGGAAGAGGTCTGGGAACTTGTCATCCCTGTCCATATTCTCGATGAGAAGGTGGATGGTGCACAGGGTCTGCAGGGAGAGTGGCAGGGAGTGTCAGGCTCCCACTCAGAGCTCCCTGGGGAGCCCCAGGGCCTGGGCCCGCGACTTACCATCAGGGGGTCCACCGCGGCCAGGCGCCAGATGTCGGCCTTGGAGGTGGCGTTGGTCCTGGGGGTGAACCGTGACTGCAGCCGGCCCATCAGCCCGTGGAGCATCGTCCGGGCAAAGGACATGTTTTCCGCCACAGCCAGCCATACCTCTATCAGGTGGCTGGCCAAAGACAGGGGACAAGGACTGTGAGTTGCCTGGCAGGTAAGGAAGAGCCTCTTCGGACCCCCCAGCCTCGCCCTGAGTAGTGGTTGGTCCCTGGAGGCTGCACCTCGGGGAGCTCGGGGAGCCGCCAAAGGTCGCATAACTAGAACCCAGATGCCTGAGCCCAAGCTCAGCCACCTTTCTCTGCCCCTCGGAAGCCCTGGCTCCATGGCTAAGTGACCTCGAAAGTCCCCATCGGGCCTACAGTTTGATGACCTATGGGCACATCCAGTAATAGCCTCCAAGTACCCGACTTGTGTCAGGCTGGACCCGGGCAGCTGGCTGATGCCATGTCCCTTCCTCGTGCTCACACAGGAGAGGAAAGGCAGCCTGCCGAGGGCAGGTGACCTGCCAGGCTACAAACTGAACCAGACTTCCTGATCCCCAAGTCAAGCCCTCGGCCCTGCCGAAAAGGGGCGGGCCCCAGGACAGTGACCTGATGGGCCTGGTCACACAGGTACGGGGAGGCAGGCTCCCGGTGGGTTCTAAATGGCTAAAGAGACAAGTCCGGCAAGATCGAATTGAAGGAGATGCTGTTAACTGTCTGAATTCACACGGCTGGGTCCGCGTTTTTCCCAAGTCTGCACCTCCCACGGGAGATTCGGGGAGAGGGTCAGACAGAGCCCTCTCGAGGCCCCGGTCCTCTGGGACGTGTCAGCACAGGTGAGTCGGGCATGGTCTGGGTCGCACGGCAGGCCGTGGTCCCCGCCCGGGGCACCCACCTCTCCATGGGCAGGGGCTGCCTCAGGAGCGACGTGAGCACGGGATCCTGGTGGTGGTGTGCCAGCAGGATGATGCCCTCAATGAGGAGGCGCCGCACCTCCGGCTGTTCCACCACAGGCAGGTGGACCAGGATGGCGCCCAGGATCTCGGCCACCTGGGTTGGGGCGGGGGCATCACTAAGGCAGCCTGGCCCTCGGGGGCCTCCTGCCCTCGCCCCTCTGCACGCCCCTCCTCCAGGGACTCTCGCCTAACTGGACGACGGGAAGGTTACGCCGCCAGCACCCCCTCAGTGAACCCTCTGGCCTTTTCGGGACTTCATCGGGTTTCCGGCATGGGAGGCACTGTCCTCTGGGAGAGAGAGTCCACCATCCACTTCCTGACCGGGCTACCTTCAACACGTTTTTTTTCTCTTTCTAGAACTCTACTTCTTCCTCCTCTTTGCAACCAGGGGTCTGGGAGGTGTTCTCGAAGACTGCAGCTGGCCCTGGCCCGTCCCTCTAGCCTGAGTACACAGGGCAGCCCCAGGCCCTGCGTGGCCCGTCCACAGCTCTGCCACCTTGTCCTCCAGCTCCTTGACCCGCATCTGGAGGAAGGTGCCTATCCAGGTGACGGAGGCCTTGTCGTGCTGGAGGTCCATGGCCCCGATGTTCTCACACAGCTTCTGGATAAGCGAGACCACCTCATCGCAATTAAACTGCATGCAAGCCACCTAAGACCAGAGTAGGCCGTCCTTGGGGTCTGGCAACCAAGCCCCAGGCCCGGTCCCCTGCGGCCACCTGTCACCCTTGACTGACTACATCACGGCTCCAGCTCACCCCCTCTTCTCTCTCAAAGCCTTTGCCGTGGCCTCATCTCCGCCCCCCTGACCGGCCTCTCTCCGTCCCAATTACGGGCCTGCTCAGGATGTCAGCCCTCTATTCTAAACTGCCTAGGACTCGGTGGGTGTACCTTTCCAAGGCCTCCAGGGTGTACCTCCGGCCTCCCTCTCACTCCTCATCCCCACCCCTAATCCTGCCTGAACCCCCACAGGACGCTCCACCCCAAACCCTCCCTGCCCCGTCTTCACTCCCCCGCAGCCTTCCCTCAGGGTATGCCCTGAGCCCTGACACCTGTCCTGTGGCTCCACAAGCCCCCTTCCTCCGGGAAGCCACCCCTGCTCCTGAGGCAGAAGTGACCTCGCCCCTGTGCAGCCTCAAGTTTGAGCAGCTCTGGGCACTTTCAGTCATCAGTATGCCCCCAGCCTGCCCGGGTGCAAAGGCCTGTGTGCAGGGCATCATGTTCAAGTCTGCCTGGGCCCCTCCGTCCTCAGCCTAGCCACAGGGACGAAGAGAAGATAGCTGGGGACAGTTAAGCACCTACTGTGGACCAGGCACACCTGTGGGGACCTTACGTACTGTAGGCCATTTAAGTACACATGGCATGAGTTGGACCAAAGGCCATGGGGGCTGTGACTTCCAGAGGAGGACGGAGGCTGCACGGCCAGGCTGAGCAGAGTCCTGCCCCCAGACGTGCTCCAGGCATTGGGAGACCAGCCCGGCAGCCCACACAACCTTCCTGGCTTGTCACCTTGGCGATTCTGGAGGATGCACTGAAAATCTTCTCCACGTCCAAGCCCTGGAGGTCCTCCTTGCACTTTGCAAGCTCCAGCTCCTTGGAAGCACCCCATGAGGAGCAGGTCTGACTTGCTGTTGGGAGGACAGTTTCGGTCACGACCCGCAAGGACAGAGGGCCACATCATGGCGGCCACATCATAGCGCCCTGGTCCCCGAGGCCGTCGGCTCTGCGGGCCTGGACTGCACCGTGGAGCTGGACATCCCATCCCCTCCCGTCTTTGCTCTCACTGTTCCCCACATCGCCACTACACGAGGCTCAAACGCCTGCTGTCCTGCGATGGACACTCCGCCAGCCGCCAGGCCAGAGGCGAGCTCCCCCGCTCCAAGGCCAGCACACTGCCTTCTTCCCTGAGCTCATCTCTGGCCAGTGTTGCTGTTTCCTTGGTATCTGTGAGCTGGCCTTGTCCCAGTGAGGCCCAACACATGCCCTCAATGAGATGCACTGAGCCTCTCCTTCCAGAAGCTTCCAATGCCTCTCAATGAGCACGGCACCCTCTCTACTGTCTCTGCTGGTCACCCTTGTTTGTCGACACAGAGTGGCCACACTCCTCCCCCAGGCGAGCCCCGCAGCCGACAGCCGACAGCCCTGGCTTCAGCCCTCTCTCCTGGCCAGGAAAGGCTGGTGATTCACGTTCCCCGTACCATGAAGATCCAGCAGGCTGGACAGGACATCCATCGAGGCCATGCGGGTCCTTTTGTGGGAGTCACAGGTGCAGGGGGCAATGAGTCCAACCAGCGTGCCGAACTGCCCCAGCTTCAGCGGGATCTGAGGGACAGGGGACCTCAAGGCTCACACCCTCTGTCCACTCACGCCCACTTGGTGCTGCCCAGGGGCAGCGTCGTGGGCAGCTGGAGTGGCTGAACCCCGCTCTGAAAACACCACCCCTGTCTGGGAAGGGGACGGTGCCACCATCTGCCTGACACTCAAGTTTCTACCTCCCGTGCCCCACCGTTGGGTCCTTGGGGGCTGAGCAGCCAGCATCCAAGGGGTCCAGCTGACCGCGGACCCAGGCTCCATGTCCAGGTCCTGCCTTATGCCTGTAACTGAGCCCTGGGCTCAAACCTGGGCTTCCCCGCTCACTACCTGTGTGACCTGAGTACATAATCTCGGGTCCCCGTGTTCCCTGTCTGGTAAGAATGGCACCTCCAATGTCGTGAGAACTGCATCAGAACATCCAGGCGACGCACGCGGCACAGTGTCTGGCCTCAAACGTTCCTTAGTGTGAGTCTCAGCCCCAGACTCGCTTTGTTGGGCCTGAGTCCCCTGCCAGGGTCTCGCCCGCCTGAGACCTGAGGCTGGTCCCCACGCCCCAGCCCCAGGTCGCCACTGTCCTCCGGCCGGGTGACCCGGCACTCACACAGACGCCGACGCTCTGGACGTAGATCTGCATGAGGCGGAGATGGAGGTTCATGGCCTTCTCCCGCTCCCACTCTTTCTCCGACAAGATCCACTTTTCCAGGAGCTGTGGAGAGAGCCCAAGACACTGACGGGGGCATCGAAATCCCATGGCCGGCCTTTCCTGGCCCACATTGCCCTCCTCGTTTCTCCTACTCAGAAGCTGACTTCCCATGCTTCTAGATGGTTCTAGACACTTCCGGTGTTCTTCCCACGCCCCACCACTAGGGTGATGAAGTTGTGGGCAGAGAGAGAGCGCCCTCCAGCTCCCAAGGACGGCTCTTGTCTGATGTGCTCCGCCTCGCTCCAAATGTTTGCCTGCAGGTAAACAGGACCAGGAGCACAGCCCGCCCTGTATGCTGCCTAAACGTTCGTGCATCTGATAACAGAGCTTAATGATTCATGAAGCAGCATCCATGGGATGCAGCAGCCAAGGAAAAAGCCGGTGGACTCATACTGTCTGCTCCTGATTTCCAGACTTATTATAACTTTATGGTAATCAAGACAGGATGACACTGGGGTGAAGACAGACAAATGTGTCAATGGAGCAGAATAAGTGTCCGGAAATAGAACCACATATGCATAGTCCGCTGATTTTTAACAAAGGTGCAAAGGTAAGTCAGTGGAGAAGAGTCTTTTCAACAAATGATGCTGCAGCAAGCACTTGGTTATCCACGGGCAAACAAATAAAAATTAAATAAACTCTGATCCATACCTCATGCCACATACAAAACGCAACTCGAAATATATCATAGACTTAATTGTAACACCTGAAACTGTTAAGTTTTAGAAGTAAATCTTTGCGACCTTGGGTCAGGCCAAGATTTCTTCGATGTGACACCAAAAGCATGATCGATAAAAGAAAAAACGATAAATTAGACTTCATCAAAATTACAAACTTCTGCTCTTCAAAAGACACTGTGAAATTAATAAAAAGACGAGTCATAGACAAGGAGAAGATATTTGCAAGTTACGTTTCTGATAAAGGCCTTGTATCCAGAATATACAAAAACTCTAAAAATTCAATAAGAGAATAAACAACCTCATTTCAAGATAAACCAGCATCCTCCCCAAACGGCAAGATTATGAAAGACGAAAAAAGACTGAGGAAGTTTTCCAGACGGATGAGAAAAGGGACACGACGATTATAGGCAACGCGGAACCCCGGTGAGATCCGGAACCGGGGGAGAAATCGCTATAAAGGATGTTATTGGAACCATTACTGAAATTCGAATATAGACCATCGATTAGAATATAGCATGGTATTGAAATTATGTAAGAGAATATTCTTGTTTTTGATATCTGCAACTAACTCTCAATGATTCAAAAGGCACATGTGTGTGTATGTGTGTGAGAGAGATAGAGAGAGAAAGAGAGAGAGAGAGAGAGAGAGAGAGAAGAGAAAGGAGAGAAAGAAAATGTGGCAAAATATTAAGAATTGTGAATCTGGGTGAAAGGTATATAGTTCTTTGTACTATTTTCGCAACTTTTCAGCAAGTTTGTGATTTTATCTAAATAAAATTACCAAAAACAATTTTTAACTCATGCCTCTGTTTCCCACAGAGAATCTGGCCCTCAGGCCAGCTTTCTGGGAGGGGCGGCCATCCCTGGCTCTGGACCCCGCCAGGCAACTCACATGCACCATCTCCTGTAGCCCCTTGGGGTCCAGCTGCCTCTGCATGAGGCCCTCCATCAGCTGCTCCAGGGCATGCAGGGCGTTCGTGTACAGGGTCTATGACGAGAGAGGGGAGCTCTGGGCAGCAATGAGGGGTGCACAGTGTGAGATGGTCTGATAATCACCCCTTCTGCTCAGATTGAGTTCTTTACACTCATCTTTTCGTGTGACGTACACGACAATCTCTTAAGAGGAACTGTTTTCAAAGAAGGAAACTGAACCTGTGGAGCCCTCTTCTCCTGATTCCTCATCCGGGGGCAGGCTCTGGAGGCGCCGACGGCTACCTGACCACAAAAGATGTGCCCTCCTTTCCCACAGCAGTCCTGGGAAATCAGCCATCTGGTTGGGACTGCACTTCCCAGGAGCCATTGCCTCTAGGTGGAGCTGTATGACTGAGTTCTGGCCCATGGAAGGTGGGGAAGTTCATTAATCCTCCATACTCTTTCTCTTCCTCTCCACCCCGGACCTTCCGAATCACACTTTGAAGATAGCAGAGGCCCTGAACAGCGCCATCCCTACCCTCCGCCACCAACTGGACATTACTTGAGTGTAAAATCAGCGTCTATCTTGTGAAACCATGGAGATCTGGGGACTCCTCTGTTATAGCAGCTAGCATGACCTTATGCTTACTAACACACTCCGCTGCACTTGGCTGCTCTAACCACGCATAGATGGCTCTCGGCACTGCCCACACTCATGTCAACTTTCAAGTGCTGACCCAGAAAACGAGGAGGCCCAGAACAACCTACCTTAATGGACTCATTGTCCTCTCCTGGGGGTTGGAGAGAAATTAAAGAATGTATACTGATGTCCATCAGCTCACTGTTTTCCTCTGTGGAGTAGAAAGGCTTCACTTTACTAGGGAAAGGAGAAGGGACGAGAGGAGTGGTCAGTGGAGGGTTGAGTCCCTGCCCCGTCGGGGGCGCAGAGGCATGTCGTAGAGCAAGGCAGAGGCCGGCTTCCCTGGTCGGAGGTTCAGGCTTGCACCCCTCCCCAGGGAGTCCGTCTCTGCCCAGCCATCAGAGTCCAGGGACTGTCTGTGACTGAGGGGGAGCCTCAGGGGTCCAAAACCATCTCTCCTCCTGGTTGCTGTTCTAACCATGTCCCTCTCCTGCTCAGAAGCAATCCACCGCTCCTCCCACACCACAAGGGACTCTGCCTCCCAGGCTGGTGCTGGCCCAGGGGTCAAGTACAATACCTGGACCAACAGCAGCAGCAGCAGCAGCACCACCACCACCACCACCACCTTGGAGCTTCTTAGAAATGCAAATTCTATGGTCCCACCTCAGAGCTACTGAATCAAAAACTCGGGGGTGGGGCCCAGCCATCTGTGATTTAATAAACACTCCAGGGTAGTAAGTAGCTGCTTAATGCATGTAGCTCATTCTCCTTCTACCCCTTAATCAAGAGTTCCCAAGCTGAGATGCATATTAGAATTACCTGGAGAGCTGTTAAGGGCCCCCCAGGGCCAAGTCGGGCTCCACAGGTCCTTATTTAAAGGTCTGTGGTGGGGTTGGGGTATCCACATTGTTGAACCTATTGTGCCTCTAGAATTGGGAGCCACCATCCCATTGAAACTCTTGCACCCCAAAGGGATCCTGTCCTGCTGGGAGCTTCCAGCTCCTGCCCAAATCCAGCTCTTTTGTTTCGACCCCGGTCAGAAGTCAAACTCCTTTGGCCAACTCCTTCTTAAAGGCCCTGATCTAGCGACTGAATTGCATCTCTTTCATAGCCCTCTGCTTCCGATCTTAGATTTGTTTGTTGTTCACCCAAACACTCAGCTCTGATCCCTGAGTCCCTGCGCATGTGTTAACGAGTCTGTCTTCTCTCCCAGGCCCTGAAAGGATGTGTGTGAAATTTACTTACTGTGCGCTGCCTCTTAAAGCAATAAGTAGTTCTGCTATGAGCTTAAATGGTGAACCTACCCCCGTTGGTGAAGAGTTTCTAGAGACGACCCAACCATTTCAAACACAAACTTTACAAACGCACAGTGAATGGACAGTTCCAGGAAGGCAACCTCAGGCATTCTGTTACTTCCATTATAATTATTAATCCTTGTATTAACCGTATTAATACCGTGTCAATAGACAAATTCCTTGACTGAGCCCAGACCAACTGGAAGGATGCCATCTCCCTGCCGTTCTATTCAGTTTCACTGTATGATTTCTTGCTCGAAACATCTCCTAGTGGACTAAAGAAGAGCCCACCTCCCTGCCGGTCATGTCCCAATCCAAAAAGAAGAGCCCAGCTTGAAATATTGTTGAGATTTATGGAAAAGAGCTGACGGAAGCAGACCCCTGTCTTCTGATGGCCGGTTGAGCCAGGAGCTGCCTGAGCCCCTGCTACAGGGGTGGCCGCCCAAGGAGCACTGAAGGCTGGTCTCAGCCTCCACCTTTACCCAGGAGAAGTGCCCGGGGCACAGGAAGGGGCCCGGCTCACCTCAAGTGCGAGAGGGCATCCATCGCCATGGCCCGCACAGGGGAAACCAGGGTGTCGATTGGTTCCGCCTTGATGATGGCCTGCGGGACACGGCGGGACAGTGAGCTGCCAGGCCACTCGGCGTCCCAGTCCAGGCAGGAGAGGGGGCCTTGACTCACACTGACTCTGAGGGTAGCAGCGTTCCCCAGGGTGATTGCTCCTTTCCTTCTCCGGGCCTCCCATTCCACCCACATTTCGCTTCCCTCCAGAAGTGCTTCCAGCTCAGCTGGAGCAGTTTCCAGGGCCAAGGGATCGTAAGGGACTGCGGAAGTCTAGAGACAGAGACAGTAGCTGTCCCACAAACTCCATCAGCCCATCACCGCTTCTTGCCTTTGGGTGGTTGACATTTTCTAGATCTCACTAAAGTTCTGTGTGAACATAGCTCTCAATAAAAATAGCCTGCAGCAGATGCCGACCCGCTAAGTCCCTCCTCTGGAGAAACACGGGGCCACGGCGGGACTGATCCAGTGGACCTCCGTCTCCCAGCCCTGAGCCAGCCACCTCGGGGCCACCACGGAGCCCGTCTGGTTCCTGGCTGTGATACCTTTTATCGGCTACAAGAGTATCGTACGCAGAATCTTGCAGTTGGAACAAAGAAGAACTGAGACAGAAGGGGCTTCAGAGACCCCTGTAGCCCCCTGGCCTCCCAGATGCCCTCGGGAACTCTGAAACCTCTGACAAGGTGGAAGCCAGTCAGCAGAGTTAGACCCCAAACCTCCTGGCGGAGAAAGCGCCCCTGCCCGGCTTACCATTACAATGGCGGTAAGAGTCGTCTTTTGGCCAAATTGAAAGTCCTCCAGGTCCTTGATGTTTTTGATGGCACTGGTGACCTGCGCCACACTCTTCATGAAGGCCATTTTGAGGCAGATGTCCTGTGTCCAGACCAAGACGGGGAGAAGGAAGGAGCACGTTGGGAGTGATCCTCAGGGTCCTGAGTCACAGCCCTGGCTCCCAGCCCCCATGGCCGTATGAGTACGGACACCCCTCCCTCCCGGATCGCGCTGAGGAAGAGTCAGTGTCAGGGGTGCTCGGAGAGACCGCAGCCTCATTCTGTCTTTCGGCCACCTGACAGAGCATCTGCCACATGTCCCGGACGTGGGCCACGCTCCGATGCTCCGTGGAAGACGCCGCCCGCCCTGGGCCCCCACACCGTGCCTGAGTGGGGAGGGGCAGTTGGTCGATGGACACAGAGTTTTAGGTTACAATATGAGAAGTCCTGCAGATGGATGACAGTGATGGTCACACAACTGTGTGAACGTATGTAGTGCCACTTAAAAGTGGTCATGGTAACTAACTTTTTTTACGTGTATTTTTATCACAATTTAAAGAACAATAATAAAATAATGTTTGCTTTATTCTCTGAGTTTTCTTGTTACTCCAAGAAAGTCACTAGTCCCTTCACGTTTCTGACTACAGGCCCCTTGTCCCTTATGAAAAAGTTTTTAGTCAGGTGGCCGGGGGCGGGGTGGGGGGAAAAGTGAGGGTAGA